ATAAATAAAAATCTTAAAAAAAAAAAAAGAAGGTAGGATATATCAGTAAGATTAGAAAAAAATTTCTCAAATACTTTAAAGGGGAAAGTTGGGCTATTGGCAGTTATTGGTTGGGATAAGAGAGAAATTTGTTTGGGGCTTTTGAAAGAAGGGGTATCTTAGATGAAAAAAGAATGATCTAGAAAATAGGTAGTGTAAGAGACCCAGTTTATGTATTTCTCAGATTTGCTACCTCCTCTCCACCCAATCCAGGACTTGGACATTTACCCATTGGATAGCCTCAGCTGCCACCATCATCTGGTCTCCCAAAAGTGTGCAGGGGGTGGAAACCAAGCTTTGTCATGGCCTCCATCATCCTCAGGGCAGGAGGGCCAGGATGACTCTGGTTCCCATGTCCAACCCAACTGAATTCATGGGAATTCTGACTCCTTCTACCACTTCCAGTCACAGATATAATTCACTGTGTAATTTCCTCTAAGTCACGTAAGAGGAGGTCTAAGAGAGAACTCAGAGATGAGACAAGCCTAGAAATTCTAAAGAATGAACCACAGGATGACACACTGCTCTCTCTGCAAAGGAGAGGTGACCACATTGAGGGGCTGTAACTTCTAGTATTTACTGGGGCAACTGATATGTAATTGTTTCCCATGGAGCTGATATGCCCACATGTAAGAAGGAGCTATTGTGGACTCCTTTGATCTCCTGTCCAAGGTGGCTAACTGGAGGACCAAAGAGATGGCAGCAGAATAAAGCTGAGGGCATCACCAGATGCCCAGAGGCTGAGGAAGGCATAAGGGAACATCTGGAATTGAGACATGTTTACCTTTCTCAAAGGAACTATGGTTGAGAGATCCCCTGCCAAATGTGGAGGGCAAGAGGGAAAGTCTTTGGAAGACCCATGAATGGATCCAGATTTAGATATGGGCTATTGTCACAGAAAACCAATTCTTGCCAAGCATCATCAAGTAAGAAATTTTCTGTACTTCTTTAGCTCTTCTCCCTTCCCCAACCCATTCTGGAACCATGGCTAGCAACAAGAGGGCAGGACCTAGGAGAAGGGGGTAGAAGTGAAAGGTGGGCAACAATGGGTAAAATGCCAACCACGTGAGATCTCCTCTGTCATGGCCGGTGAGCAGCCTGTGGGAGGCTGGGAAAGTGGAGTAACCTTGAATGAAGTTTTTAGTTTTAATGGTTACCTTTTGATAGACATATTAATCACCAAGAAAATGTTCACTTATTTCCTGAAAGTGACTAGGGTCAAAGGAAGAGCTGGCCCCCATGAATAAATTTAATGGATCAGTGGTAGACAAAAATGAAGTGACTTTACATTGAGTAAGCATGACACCTGGGATGTAATTATAAAGTTTAAATGCACATTTTCTCATTTAATCTTGACAATGATCTTTGAACTAGGTGCTGCTATTGCTCACATTTTATAGATGAGAAAATTAAACAGAAAAGTTAAGCAACTTGTCCAAGAAAAAAATGGCCATCGAACAAGGCTTGGTAGCCAGGCTGTCTGTCTCCAGAGCTGCCTCCTAGCAACCAGATAGCTTTCCTTGTCCTGGTGAAAATCTAGAGTTTCTGTTTACCATAGATAGTTACACAGAACCACAGCCAACCCATTGGGCACATCTACAAAAACAGGAAAAAAATCATCCTTCTTTCAAGATTTTTCCTTCCATCTGTTGGAAAATGTCAAAATAGACTAACTTTTAAGAAGGTATTTACTAACTTCTACAGTAAAGTTTCATAATAAAGATCTAAATCTTCAAGGCTCTTCGTCCTTTATACACCTGCCACAGCACTTGGCAGCCTGAAGGCCTTATTGCCAGGCAACCAAAACCTGTCAAATTGTTTACTTCTTTGAGACAGGGTCTCCAACCTCTGAAACCAATGAGATTGTAAACAATGGCCTTCTCCTCATGCCACAGCATTCGCATTTGCAGAGTGGGCATGGGCTCCGGAGCGGGGTGGGGGGGTGGGAGGGGGTGGAGGATGGGGGCTGGTGTGTGAGACAAAAGGCTCTCAGATGTCCTGTTTTTCAATCCACAAGTCACAAAGAAATACTTAATGACTGTGAAAAGTTCAATCTGAAATCTAGAGGCACAAATCTAAATTCTCCTACCAGCCCCTGGGGATGTAAACAGAGATTGAGGAGAATGTCAGCAAAGACAGGGAAGGAAAAAATATGAAGGGCACATTAAATACTTACTGCTCTCACCCCCCGAGGTACAGATGTTGCGAACTATCCTTTTTTTGACCTTTGTCAGTTCATCAAAGTTATGAACCGTTAGCTTCTTATCTGCAGTCCCGGTGATCTGAATGAGCTGCTGATCATCCACGTCCCCAATGCCCACAGAGTAAATGTCAATACCTTTGTGTCTCAGGTCTTCAGCAGCCTGCGCCACCTCATCTTGGGACTGGCCATCTGTGAGGACCAGCAACACCTGCGGGGTACCTGCATTTATCCGGCTGCCCATGTCTGGCTGGAAGTAATGCCCCACGTGCCGGAGTGCAGCGCCAATGTGTGTGTATCCAAAGATCTGCTGGATGTTTCCAATCTGAAATGATATCTCCTCTTTGCCTATGAAAGTACCCAGTGGAAATTCTGGCCGATAGGTATGGCTAAACTGAGCAGCACCTATACGTACTCTGTTGACACTGACATCAAAGTCTTGAACAACAGATGCCAGGAATGCCTTCATCTTCTTGAAGTCATCTGGATGAATGCTATTTGAACCATCCATGAGGAAAACAAGATCTACTTTTTCAATTTCACAATCTACAAAGAAGAGGAAAGGGAATAACAACAACAAAAATCGGGTTATTTTTTCTTTAACTTGGCAAGTGCAGATTATGTGTTTGTAGCTATATAGAAATGATATTTCTGAAGACGGTTTCTTATCATATGCCATCCAGTGGTCACATTAATTGAGAGGAAATAAAAACAATCAGTTCATAAAGGCACAAACAGCTCACACATCCCTTTAGGTCTCTCTTGGGATTTCCATTTGGTCTTTTTTTTTTTTTTTAATTTTTTAAATTTTATTTTATTATGTTAGTCACCATACATGTTCCATGATTCCTTGTTTGCATATAACACCCAGTGCTCCATGCAGTACGTGCCCTCATTAATACCCATCACCAGGCTAACACATCCACCCACCCCCTCCCCTCTAGAACCCTCAGTTTGTTTTTCAGAGTCCATTGTCTCTCATGGTTCATTTGGTCTTACACCATTTTCTTTTCAAAGATGCCAGAGAAATGGGGGTGGTGCCACAGAAAACTCATTCTTACCTGCAGTGTGGCCTCAACCCTTCCAGAAAGCCCAGTGATAGTGGTAGCACAGCAAGAGAAAACAAAATAGCACACATCCACTTAGAGACTCAAACAAAAAGACAGATGGTCTGTATGATTCACTTGGCCTCCCTGGCTAGTTTTGCCAAGCAATACTTTCCTGATTATTTTTTTTTAAAGATTTTATTTATTTATTCATGAGAGACAGAGAGAGAGAGAGAGGCAGAGGGAGAAGCAGGCTCCCAAGGAGCAGGGAGTCCGATGCAGGACTCGATCCCAGGACCCTGGGATCATGACCTGAGCTGAAGGCAGACGCTTAACCATCTGAGCCACCCAGGCGCCCTACTTTCCTGATTATTATTAGGGCGAACTGAGGTTTTAAAATCATGCCTTCCAGCCTATATCTTGTCTGTTTTCCTCTCTTTCAGCTCCCTTGCTGGTGCATATAGGCAAAAATATGTACTTGAGAAAAATATTTTTGGGCAATGCAATATAGTTTAGAGATGCTTCCTTTGTATTAATACAACAAATACAAAACAAAAAGAATAAGACCACTGCCAATGAATGAGTTATGCTTGGCACATGCTCATGTGTGTTCTGGTAAACATTACCATTTCCTTGAATTCCCCCAGAGATCTCACCATTGACTTAATTCTTGTCAGCCTAAGATTAAAGGTATCAGAGATTCCCGCAGTCAAGATAAGCAAGGAAGAGATAAAGAGAAATATGGTAAATCAGTTAACTCATTAAATTCTTGTTTCAGTTTCAAATAAGGGAAATAAAGCACTTTTTTTTTTCTAACACACCCAAGGGAGAACTTTCAATACAAAAATTCAAGGTCAACTTCTGCAGTAGGCTTAAAAAGTACAGATAGAATTTTAGACACAGGCCAACAGAAGCTAAGAGTTGTCCCAGTTTTCAGTGAGACCCAAACAGATTTCATTAGTTTTATGAAAGAAAAAGGTAGGAGCTGTCTTCTAAGGAGGCAAGACATATGAAAGCCAGAAAAGTCAAATAATTTTTAAAAGGAACTATACCCAAGATGTTGGAATCCTGGATTAATAGCAATTCATCTAATAATACTTAGTTATTTTAGTAAAACCCACCTAAATAAAACATACTAAGGAATTTTTTAAAAAAAGATTTACTTGACAGAGAGAGTCCGAGAGCACAGGCAGGGGGAGCGGCAGGAGAGGGAGAGGGAGAAGCAGGCTCCCTGCTGAGCAGAGAGCCAGATGCAGGGTTCCATCCCAGGACCCTGGGATCATGACCCAAGCCAAAGGCAGACATTTAACTGACTAAGCCACCCAGGCGCCCCAGGAATTTTTTTTAATAGACCATAGTGTCCCTTTAAAACAAAGGTGTAGAGTGGCAGCTGAATAAATGAATGAATGACCACGTACATACATAAATGTGGCAATGTAATCTCTAGCTGCTGAACTAGAAACATGGGGCAAAGGAAGTCCACTGTGCTCTGCTCTAGAAACATCGGAGTCTGGAATAGTGTGTTTAATATCAGGCTCTGTGTTTTAAACAAGCTTCTGCTGTTAATAGGCAAAGGGACTGGGATCTTTCAGCCTGCAGGAGCGAGGACTTCAGGCAATGACTGCTGGTTCTTAGGAAGAGGTGGAATTGGATTTCTTGTGTGAGAAGTGGGACAAAGAACCAGTGGATGGAAAGGATGTGTAAAACAACTTTGTGTTCTGAGAAACAAAGCCTGCTCAAAAATGGTGAATTCCCCATGATTAGAAGAGTTTAGGCAATGAGCAGGAAAGTTGTAGGAGGTATTCCTCTTTGGGGAGGAGGCCAAATGAAATGTCCTTGAGATCCTTCCAACCCTAAGATTCTATAACAATGGGAAGTTCTAGGACGATTGGTGCTCCTACTCTCCTCTCTGGAGAACTTGCTCCAAAGGGCTATTGCTTTTGGTTTCTCCCTAACTTGGACCTCTGCTGATAATCAAGAAAAATTTAACTGACAAATCTTACCTACTTTTGAAGAGTTACATACACTGGCTGACACATCTGAAAATATTCCCTTCAGGCCTCCAAACGTCTCCACAAAGAAGTATTTGTCACTCGAGCCTGCCATGGCTAGCAGCTCCACGGGATTAGCACCAGCAATCCCCACGGCCAGGACAAGAATGCCTTTGTCCCTCAAGGCCTTGGCTGTGGCATTGAGCTTATCAGCATCGTGGGATTCCCCATCGGTGATCACAATGAGGACTTGGGGGACCCCTTTGTGCAGACGGCTGCCCCGGGCTTCAGTGAACATGTGGTCTGAGAAGCCTAAGGCCTCGGCGGTGTAAGTATTGCCCCCCATGGGCTGGTCCTTCTGGAGCACCGAAATCACCTCCGATTTTGTGCCAAGGTCACCCAGATAAAACAGCACCTCTGGGTCATCAGCATACTTCAGAGCCCCAAACCGGACCTGATTCTTGCCAACATCAGCTTTTTTCACCAAGTCAACCATAAAGTCTTTCATGATACTATATTCATCATGGTCAATGCTTCCAGAGCTGTCAATTACAAACACAACATCCAAAACTTCTATCCTCTTGCATTCTAAAAGAGGAGGAAAAAGGAAAACCACATGAGATTAGCTTTAGACATCATGGGAGACTCTTCTTCCCACGCCTGTTTTTTTAATTACCAGAGTCTCGTCTGCATGGGATCAAGCTGTACATTAGAATGTCCATTCCTTGGGTAACAGACAATACACATAGTTTGTGCTGCCAGTATGTAGAAATAGTAAGGTAAGCTTTTAGGACAAGGCAGACATGAAGCCTACTGTAGGGGGTATGAGGGGGGCAATAGTCACAGGATCATAGGAATAAACACTCCAAATGCTTTGGACTAAAAAGGAAAAAATAGAATTCTGTAGAAATCCTCCTGTATAAATAGTTTCTTCAACATGTGCTTTCGTGTACACAAATTTTTTTTTTTTTTAAGCCCAGGGAGATTTTATTCTTAAAATAAACCTTCAGGAAATGACCACATGAAAATGAATTTGGCAACACTGTATATTTTTCCCAGTTTTATGATAGCTAATTCTTCAAGGTTACATTTTCTCCCTTTTTAACTTTCCTGAACATTATCTATTTTCATTGTTGGGCCTCATCATAGAAATAAGCCCAATTCACACTTGGCCTAACTCAGTGGTCCTAGCATGACACACCTGTTAACTTTTCAAACTTTGGGTCAATGACATGGAAAAGTAAAGCAGGAAAGACCCCATTAATACTTAATCCATGTGTGTAACATATTCTATCTAAAGGTGCAGAGTTCCAAATTCCAACTCATTCATTCTGGAGAAGTGAAAGGTCAGTTGGTTAATGATTTAGTCCTTATGTAGCACAGTCTCTCTATAGGCCTTGGAAAGATATGTTCCAAATATTAACTCACCAGTTCTGGAGAAATGGAATGGCAACAGAGTAGTCATCTTCCCTAGAGGCTCATCCTATTTCCTTCCTCTGCCAGCCACCTGCTTGCTATGTGGCAGGGCTGTTGAAAACTCTAGAGCCAATGTAATTACCCTACTGACTAGAGGCCACGTTGTACATAGCCATAAACCAAATTCTCAAGAAAGGCTGGTTCTAAAAAAGAAGACATTACGTCTCTCTGGCTTTTGGCTACCCTGAGGAGCCTGCCTGGATTACCCAAGAGACTGGGGCGGGCGGGGGGGAGGGGGTAGATTTCTCAGTGTTGGCACACTTTGAAGAGTTCAGATTTGTTCTGCGTAGAATTATCAGGAAATACAATCCAGGTATATTTTCCACAGAGCACAGACTACCCACAATCGCCAAACCTTCCAGTGGAAATTGAACAGAACTGTTATTTGAAAAACACCGTTCCTCTCTTTCCTCAAAACTCCGTTAAGATCCATCTACTTCATAGAGATTTTTCAAAATGCCTCTGTCATCAAGCCCCATGGGTCACAGTGTAAATCAGTCCCTTACATTTGCTGAACTTGTTTTGTCACTTGCATGACTCTGCAGTTTCATGGAAGGAGGATGGGGACTATACTATTTACTTCCTTTGAGGCATCCATGGTTCAAGTTCCCATACTATATTCTTCTTTTAAATCACAGTGTTTTTACCAACATTATCTCAGTTTATAGAAGTATTGGTTTTCAAATACTGTAAAAACAAACATCTACATTGGACGTTAGGTCAAAGGGGAGCCACCTTGCTCGGGAGGTTATGCTCTGGTACTGCTTGCCTCACATGGAGTCCAAGGACACAGGTTTTAGGAGGCTGGCCCCTTGCCTCCAGGTAGACAGACTCTGTGGTATAATTCATGCTCTAGAGTTCCCCATGGGATTGGGCTGAAGCTATACTCTAGCTGAGACCACCTCCTTGCTTAGGTTCTACACGTGCCCCATCCTGCATTCCTTACTCCCCTTCTGAAAATGCCTCTTCAATAAATCACTTCCACAAGAACCCCTGACTCAGCTTCTGCTTCCAGGGAATCAGACCTAAGATATCGCCTTAGTGCTCTCTGCCTACAAATGGGAAACAATCTAGGCGGACCAAAATTGTTCTGTATTAATTCAACAGTTCTGTTGAGGAAAGGAGCATTTTTTAATATGTAGGTCAAAATCTACTAGGATGAACATTTTAATTAAGCAAAAAGTTTGCAATGTTCAAATAGTATTCTACTAAACATATGTTTGGATAATCCCACTAATGCAGGACACCTACCTTCACGGGGGCTGCATATTCCAAAAACAAGATCATCTTCAATGTGCTGCAGGATATCAAAATTCTCAACATAAAAAACCATCTCTGGCCTCCCGCTGATTTCCTCAAGCTGGGTGACATTGGAACCAAACACCCCCACAGAGTAGATAATTATGCCTTCTTGTCGAAGTGCTACTGCTGGGTCCTTGACTATGTCCTGAGCTTCACCGTCAGTGATAAGGATGAGAAACTTTCTGACATTGGGCCGGGCCCCCTTGGCAGGGCTGAAGTACTGAGACACAAAGGTCAGGGCACTACCAGTCAAGGTGGTTTCTCCAATGTGCGTCATCCGGTCTATTGCATCTGAAATGTCATTTTGGGACATATATCTGTTGAGCTGAAATTCCTCCTTATTGATGTCGCTGAACTGGACTACACCGATTTGTACCCGATCTGCCCCAATCTGAGATTTGCTCACCAGGCTTTTCATAAATGTTTTCATTTTGATGAAATTTTCAAGTCCTATACTGCCAGAACTGTCCACCAGAAACACGATGTCCGCTTCCATCTCTTTGCAGGCTGTATGGGAGAAGGCAAGAAGTTTATTCAAGGTGGCTTCGGGTAAAAAGATTAATGGTAAACAAGAAAATCCAAAACACAAATAATTCTATATTGAAGTTAAGTGTGAGCTTGGTAAGGATTGCTAGCAAGTAAATAAAGCACTGAGAGGCAATAAAAGTGAGACTACTCTGTTGTTATTAATATATAATTCAGGATATCTTCAGCACTATTGACAATTTGGGCTGGATACTTTTTATTGTGGAGGGCAGTCCTACAGTATCCTATAATGCATGGACATTTAGCAGTATCCCGACCCCTACCTGTTAGATGCCAGGAACACTCACTCAGTTATGACAACCAAAAATTTCTCTAGACATTGCAGGTATTCCCCAAGGGGGCCAAAATCACCCCTCGTTGAAGACTACTGATACAGTTCTAAAAGGTTTCATAAAAGTTTTATTAAAAAGCAATTTAAGTAACCTGAGGTACTCCTTCAAAATCAGAAATCATTTGCAGAGTCTAATTATAAGTCTATCCTAGCAGGGATTTGTGGGAAGAGGCTAATCAATATTTACGAGGGAGAACTCCTTCAAACATCTTTCTTATGCTTCAGATATTAATTAGAACAACACTATAATGGGCTCGTAGTTTTGCTCTGGAGAACAAACACAGCTACACAAGTCAACAAACCTTGACTTGGAAATTTATGCTGTTTCTCTAAACCTGGGATGTCATACTGCAGGGAGGTAATTTATGAGCTGAAGTCAAAAGGTAAAACCACCATGTCCCCTACCTTCTTCAGCACAGATTTCTTGAACAACTTGGTTTCTTATGTCTTTCAAAGCGTCAAAGTCATGCACGTAGTATACCCTCTTTTCCTCGCCTGCAATTTCTCGCAGCTGTGTTTGGTTGGCCTCCTTGACCCCAATGGCATAAACACGAATGAGCTCTTCTCTCAGTCTGTTCGAAGGCTCCAAGATGCTATCCTTGGACATGCCATTCGTCAGGACAACAAGAAGACAAGGCACTCGGTTTCCTCGCTGCTTCTTTGCTTTTTGCAAGAGCCCTAGTGTGAAATTCAGGGCTGCCCCCGTGTTTGTGTTCCCACCCATCTGCCGGATGTTCTCGATGGCCTTTCCCAAGTCGTGCTTGTTAGTGTATTTACTGATCTCAAATTCCAAGTCCCAGCTGTCAGCATACTGGACAGCCCCAACCCGCACCTTTTGGGGAGCGATGTTGAACATCCCTACCACCTCTGACAGGAAGGTCTTCATTTCGTGGAAGTCTGTGGCCTGGGTGCTTCCAGAGCCATCAATGAGCAGATAAATGTCTGCTTCTTCAGTATCCACACAACCTAAAACGGAACCAGAAAGTTGGTTGTGGCCCTGAGGCAAGTGTGAAGAAGGAATGGGAAGAGATGGGAAGTAGAACAGTGCAAGCGTCTTCAGACAGAAAAATGGAAAATAGCTTCTAGGCGTAAAAGATACTCTGCTAGCCTATTGTAGGGAGATCTTAGCATCACTGGGGCCAAATGAATTGCTTCTGACAGTTTAAGACTATTTGGATAGTTCTCAGTCATGAATCAGAGCAAATCTGGATACAATAAAATATTAGAAAGAAAACCTGAAGATGATTTTTACAAGTTACTTTCCTCATTAGTGAATAACTGCTTGGCAAACAGGCAAGCGGTATGCTGGGAAACAGAAGGTATTTAACGGGATACTGTGGACAGAGGAGCTTTCTTTTTTGAAAACTTGAACAAACTACTCATCTACTCCTAGCCAATTCACAAACCTAGGGGTATTGTCAATGGCGTTATTTGCATAGAACAAGGACACTTTTATAGTAAACATGCTAGAAATATTTGTTGATGAATGTATACATATATATGCACACATAAATTACATAGTATGCATGTGTATATATGAAATATTTAAAATGCATCACTCTCTGTCTCTCCAAACTCACAGATAGCAGAATAGCACTTCACAACAAATCACTTGGTCCTCAAACCAAATCATTCTTCCGGTTTCTTCTTCAAGTTGGAATTTGAGGATAGTGGGAGAAAAGGAGGGAAAAGTTCAAAAAGAAAAAAAAGAAGTAAAGGCAAGAGCAGGGGAACACGAGAGGCAAAGGAGAAAAAGGAAAAAGTAAAAGGCAGAAAAATAACAAAGGATGGTGCTCTGGGGTGTTTAGAAGTCATGAAGAATCCTGGTAAAGCTGCACAGAAGAGCAAGTAAAAAGGGAAATCCCTCCTCTCCATTCCAGCTCCTCAATGGCTTTCATTCTCTCCCAGTTTACACTTCCTATGAGCAAGCAAAGGTAGGGAGTCAGGAACTTATTCTCCCTATCCACAGCATCCCCTGCCAACTCCTTCTCTACATAGGCTACCTGAGAGACAGGAGACAAGAAAAGGCTCTGAATCATCCTTCTCTCAGCTAAGGACTTTACCGGATTTGAGAGTTTCAGTGCGCTCTGAAAAAACAGAGACCGTGTGCGTTATCTGGTTCCGCAGCTTCTTCAGAAACGTCTGGTTGTGAGCGGCCAGGTCGGAGAAGGTTTTCAGTTTGGACACGTGCTGCTCGGAGGGGTGAGAGGCGATCTTTTCTAGCTGGCTCTCGCTGGCCCCCTCGACGCCCATGGTGAAAATGGTCACGCCCTCGCGCCGGAGGTTCACGGCTGCCTTGGTCACATTATCCTCTGAGGGTCTGTGGGTCACCAGCACGGCAATCTGGGGCACCCCCTGATTCTTCCGACTGCCATTGCGTGCACTGAACACTTCCTTCCTGATCTTTCTGATGGCAGCTCCTGTGTAAGCCTTCCCAGCCCGGGGAGAGAGGTTCTGTATATTCTGGAGAACCTCTGACTTATTTAAGCCCCTGCTGAGTGAATTTATCACCTTCGTCTCATTGCTGTAGGTCACGAGGCCAACCCTCATGCAGTTTTCCTTTATGTCAAGAGCAGATACACTCTCTTCCAGGAATTCCTTAAGATATTCAAAGTTCTCCTGGCTGCCATTGACAGACACATCCAGCAGGAACACCACATCAGCCACAGACGGGCCTTGGCAAACTGTGTGGACAAGGAATGAACAAGCACAACTTTAGCTGGAGGTTCGGCATCTCTGCTCAGCATTACAAGGCACGGAGAACAACTACCAGAACCTGGTTACACACTTAAAGAAAGAAGGCCGTGCACAAAATGATCATGAAGCTGAGATCACAAGGTCCTAGATTCAAATACTAGACCTTAGCTCAACTCCCAGCTTTAATTTCCTTATCTGTAAAAACAGTATTTATCTCATGAAATTGTTATGGGGATTACATGTGATAATGTGCTTAGCATGGGGTCCAGTACTAAAAGTCACTCAGTGAACAGCTGCTACTGTGATAATTAAAATGTCATTAAGATCAGTAGGTAGAGTCCAAATATTCTTAAGTTATGGTAATGGACTAGCAATTGCACTTTCCATTATTTTATTTGGGAAAGAGGCTTGATATTTTCCTAGAATAAACAAGAAAAGCATTCTCCATTATCAATTAGACAATTATACTGTCTCGTTCAAATGTATTTAACTGGCAATAATGTGAGTTTCCTACGTTATTTATACTTGTACAGTTTGAGTAAATTGTTTTTTACTGGCTCTCTCCTGCCCCTCACCTGAATGATGTTCATAAACACCTGGCCATTCTTATTAATACAAGAGGACAGAGCTGGACAGCAGGTTGGAGGTGGAAGAGAACCCAGGGAAGCTGAGCAGCAGAAGGGAGGCAGTATGGGGCTGTAGCTATGAGGGCCTGGGGAATCCAGGGTCCTGATCTACCCAATTTCAAATGGCAGCCTGGCCTGGGGCCAGGCCATTTCACCTCAAAGGATCCCTGTAAGCTTCTCTCTGTAGAAGCAGGGGTTTGGTCTACCTGAAGTTGTTTCTAGCCCTAACATTCTGTGATTGCATTATGTGGTTTCAGCCGGCAAGGATTTCTTTAGGAACAAATTTACCTTTTAAATGAGCCAGTAATAAAACTACATAGCACCAAAAGCCCAGGGAGGCCTAAAGCTCTGAGATAAGCTGGGTGTTAGGGAGGTGTCCCTGAATTTTAAGATGTGTCGAAGACATGCAACATGAGACACAGAAAGCCAAGACTTGTGGGTTCACTGGATTTACAATGGCCGCAATCATTGGGTCCCCTTGAACATATGAATATTTAACATCTGAAAATGCAGCCCGGCTTTTGGGGAAAGGGGTGTTCATAGTTTCAATCCTCTTCCCATACTGGTTTTTCAAAAGCATTTAATCATCATTCCTATACATGTGCCCTAAACCCACCTTCTACAAGAATATCATCGGCTGCTCCATCCCTGTACTGGGTGGCGTCCTTGATGATCTGTGTCATGTTTTGGGAAAACGCGCCGAGGTCCCTGACCGACCGGAGCTTGACATGGAACTGAGCGGTGGCCATGGCCTTCAGCTCCTCCTCAGAAGCATCCTGCAGCCCCACAGAGACGATCCTCACCCCGTCTTCCCGCAGGGCCTTGGAGGCCTCTTCCACGTCATCCTCAGACTCCGCGGAAGCCAGGACCACCAGAATCGGGGGAAACTGCTTCCTGTCCCTCCTGCTGGCCACTGCAGAGAAGTAGGTCCTGTGGGCCTCCCGGAGAGCGTTGCCGATCCTCAGGGAGCCGCCAATGAAGCTGAAGTTCTTCTTGAGGTGGTTCAGCATGGGGTTCCTGCTCTTGAAGGTGCTCAGCTGGAACTCACTGTGGAGCTGGTCGCTGTACTGGCCCAGGGCCACGCGGTACTTGTGGGCCTCTATGTGCAGACTGCTGATCATTTTGTTGATGAATGCTTTCACAAGTGGGAAGGACTTAGTTCCCAGGTGATCAGAGCTGTCCACCAGAAACACGACATCTGCATACTCAGGGCC